GAAGGTGCAAACAGTCGATGTCCGGGTACAGGTTGCGCCCCTGTGGATCCAGTCCTGTTTATTCCCGATGTAAACTGCGCGCTCGCTTCACGGCAGTTTGCGGGGACATCACTGTGAGCAGGACGAGATGGGGGGGGGGGGGGTAGGTGGGTCTGTACGTTAGCTCCAAACATGCAGATTATATCTATCTTTACCATTCCCACTTTTCTGGGAAGTATTCAGGCGGCAAGGTTTTCCGGGACATCTCTCCCGGAGTGGTGACGTAGTCCAGAGCGAGTGGGAGCGTTTGGAGCAAGCTAAACCCCACTCTGACAACGGACGCCCTGTACAGCGTAGGAGTTGGAGAGCAGAGGCCAAAGCCCCAGGTAACCTGACAACAACAAGTTACATAATAATAAGATTGGGTGGGGGTGTTAGGGAGTTAGTTGGAGATGATAGTTGGAGTGCAGTTGGGGGATGAGTTTTGGGGTTGTTCGAGGGATAGTTAGGGGTGTAGTTGGGTGGGGTATTTGGGGGGTAGTTGAGTGGGAGTAGATGGCGGTTAGTTGGGTGGGCTATTTGGGGGGCAATTTGGGTGGGTGATTGGGGTGTAGTTGGGGTGGGTAGTTGGGGTGGGTGGTTGGGGGGTAGTTGGGGTTGGTGGTTGGTGGTAGTTGGTGTGGGTGGTTGGGAGGGGTATTTGGGGTAGTAGTGAGGGGGTTTAGTTGGGGTGTAGTTGTGTAGGGGTAGTTGGGTGGGGTATTTGGGGGGCTATTTGGGTGGGTAGTTGGGGTGGGTGTTGGGGGTAGTTGGGGTGTGTGGTTGGGGATAGTTGGGAGGGGTAATTGGGGGGAATACTGGGGGAGGTTTAGTTGGGGGGTAGGTGTGTAGGGGTCGTTGGGTGGGGATGCACTGACTGTTGGGTGGTTGTGTGTTATTCGGCCCGGAATCTATACTGACCCTCACCAGGTGTGGGAGTTGCTCCGGGCGTGGATACCTGACACACACACAGAGAGTGAGTCAGTCACTCACTCTCTCTGTACGCATATAGTCTCTCTCTCTCTCGGTCTCTATCTTTCCCAGCTCTCTCTCTCTCTCTCTCTCTCTCTCGCAGTCTCTCTCACGCCTCTCTGACCTCAGACCGATACACATTGATCTCATTGCTGCACCACATCCAACTCCTTTCGGGTTAAAGGGAATCTGGAAACCCAACGGCTATCCGGGTCTCAGCTGTGAAGTTCCTGATTGACAGAAAGCCAGGATCAACAAGATTAACCGTTATACCTGACCTTTTCACCCATGTTTCCCAGCATTCACCGTGAGTGAAGTGACTGTCTGTTTAATTCAGCAGATGACTGCGCACAGTGAAGCTCCAGCAAACAGTCATGAAGCGAGTGAGTAGTTTTATCTGCCAGGATACTGGGAGATAGAGAGAGAGCAAGACACTCTCTTTTCCCTCCCGACAGCACCGCAGGAGATCTTTAATAGATTTGACCTTTAAGGCCAGCATCGGCCACTCAACCCCAGCCCAATCCAACCAAGCATAGCCACTCAAACCCAACCCAACCCACTCAACCCCAACCCAACCCCAGTCCACCCAACCCAACCCCAACCCAACTTAGCAGAGGCCACCCAACCCCAGCCCAAACCCAACTCAGCATAAACCACCCAACCCCAGCCTAACCGAGGCCAACCTAGCCAACTTCCAACCCAACCTACCCCAAACACCAACCTAACCCATCCCAGCATAAGCCAACCAATGCAACCGAAACCTGTCTCAACAGACACAGAACCTAAACCAAAGCCATCAGAGTGAGAGGAGACTTTCACAACATGGGGCTGCGGTTGTCCTCAGGGCTGGGACACTTTGGAGCCAACTAAGCTCCACGGAGGCCCCGCCACTCCCCCTCCGCCACCCCGAGAGGATATATGTGTCCAGGCTTTATTTACCAAGGATGCTGGTGGGACCTGGCTTCCTGCCCTTCATGTCCTTCATGGCTTCAACATATTGAGCAGCAAACTCATGCAGCAGTGCATCTCCATCTTTCCCTGGATGAGAATCATAATTTATCATTAATCTCCGTGTCTCCCAGCACTTCACCCCCAAACTCCCCGCACACACCCCCCCTTCCCCCAATAACTCCCAACCACATCAGCCGCTAATCTTCTCCAAACAACACTCTTTTACAGTGATCAACAAAAAAACTAGAACTTGCGTTTTTATAGCACCCTCCACTGTGGCTCTCACTCTCTCTCAAACACTCCCTCACACTCGCTCTCACAAATGCTATATCTCACAAACGCTCTCACACAGTCTCTGGCAGACATTCTAGTTCACACACACACTGAATCTCACACACACTCTCACACACACACACACTCTCTGACTCTCTCTCTCACACACACACACTCTGTGTCTCTGTCGCACACTCACTCTGACAAACTCACACACACTGTATCTCACCCACACTCACACACATGCTCTCTATCTCACTCTCACGCACACTATATCTCACACAACCTCTCACACACACACACTCCCACACAAACTCTCTCACTCACACACACTGTATCTCACACACACTGTCTCTCTCACCCTCTGTCTCAAACACACACACTCTGTCTCACTGACACACACACTATCACACACATTCACACAGACTGTCTCACTCTGACACACACACTCATACACACTGTATCTCACACAACACTCACCCTCTCTCTGTCTCACTCTCCCACACACACTCTCTCTCTCTCCACCCCCCCACCCCCCACCCCCACTGTGATCGTGTACCAGTGTTGAGAGCCTGAGCGCTGGCGAGGTGTAGTACAGTGTCGTCACTGACAGGCCAGTGTGGCAGACAGACGTGAATGTTGCCCAGGCACCCCAGCCCCTCCAGCTCGGAATGAATCTGCTCCCCGCTCTCGCAGAATTCCCACCGTGCGTTCCGATAGCCCAACGCATCTCCAACCGCGCTCAGCAGCATAGCTGCCTCGTAAACCTTCCTTGAAACACTGCGGGGAGAGACGACGACAACAACGACAACAACAACTACAGCAACAACCACCTTGAGTCTCGCTCCCTCCAGCCCTCACTCACTTCCTTCGCGCGCACACTCACACCCTCACCCACTGTCTCGCGTGCTCACACCCTCGATCTCTGACTCGCCCCCGCACTCACTCATTCACTCACTGCCTCCCTCCGTCCCTTGCTCACTCACTCGGTCGCTCACTCACTTGCTCACACACTCCCCTCACTTCTTCACTCACTCAGCCATTTTCTCACTTGCTCACTACCTCCCTCTTCACTCTCTTCCTCACTCACTCATTCACTCACTCAGTCCGTCACTCACTCACTCACTAATTCTTTCCTTCCATCTGTCTCCGCCATCTCTCTTTCAGTCACTCATCCCGCACGCCACCACCCCCATAACTCGATGACCTGCTGACTCTCTCTCTCTCTCTCTCTCTGTCTCAACTCTCCATCTCGGTATTCAAAATTTTCCACAATTGAAGAAAAAATTTCAGGTCATAGAAACTGGAAAAATTTCAGTCTCTCTCAGTCACTCTCTCTCTCAGTCTCTCTCACTCTGAGTCTATCTCTTACATTCTCTCTCTCTCAGTCTGTCTCTCACTCAGTCTCTCGCTCTGTCTCACTCAGTCTCTCACTCAGTCAGTCCCTCTCTCTCAGTCTCTCTCTGTCTCTCTCTCTCAGATTCCGAAACTGAATAAATGTGTAACTCTGGAATGACCTGACCAGCTGTCTGCTCACATCTCCACTGTCAGCAATAACCTTTGAGATTGATCTTTGGAGCCGGAGAAACAGGGAAATCCCACAGCCCAGGTCTGACACTCTCTGTCTAACAGGAGTCAGACACTGCCCTTTCAACCCACCCTCTCTGTGTCTCTCTCTCAGTCTCTCTGTCGGTACTGGGACACCTGCTCTTCTGATTTATCTGAGTGATCGTGACACCTGGATATAAGGAGCACAATTTCCAAATTTGCAGGCGATACTAAGCTAGGAAAAATAGTTAATGGTGAGGAGGATAGCACCACAATAACAACAACAACAAGATTCCATTTGTAGAGCGCCTTTCACGTCGGGAGGACGTCCCAAGGCGCTGTATAGTTGGATCAGGACCCGAGCAAGGGGGAAATGGTCAGGGTGAGGGGAGGAAAGGGAGGGAGCGAGGAGGGGGTAGAGAGTCGAGAGGAGAGCTGAAGGCACCGTCAAAGAGAAAGGTCTTGAGACCGGCCTTGAAGGAGGAAAGGGTGGAAGCGGCGAAGGCACTGGGGATAGAGTTCCAGAGCCTCGGGGCTGAGAGGCTGAAGGCCCGGCCACCGATGGTAGGGCAGTTCGGGCGGGGGATGTGGAGCATACCGGAGCCAGAGGAACGGAGGGTACGGGCAGGTAGGTAGGGGGATAGTAGATCAGAGAGGTAGGAGGGAGAAAGGCCGTGAATGGCCTTGTAGGTGAGGATGAGGATCTTGAATTCGATCCTCTGCGGGATGGGGAGCCAGTGGAGGCGAGCGAGGGTGGGAGTGATGTGGTCGCGGTGTCTGGTGCAGGACAGTACACAAGCTGCAGAGTTCTGAATGACCTGCAGCTTGTGGAGGGAGGTGGCGGGAAGGCCGGCGAGGAGAGAGTTCCCATAGTCCAGCCTTGAGTGATAAAGGCGTGGACCAGAGTTTCAGCAGCGTGAGGGGTGAGGCAGTGCCATAGTCTGGCGACATTCCGGAGGTGATGGAAGGCGGTGCCAGTTGTGGTGCGGATATGAGTGAGAAACGACAGCTCAGAGTCGAGCAGAACGCCGAGGTTCCTGACTGGCTTTGAGAGGTGGAGAGTGCGGCCTTGGATGCTGATGCTGTCAGCGCCTGAGATGCGGAGGCGCTGACATGAGCCAATCAGAAGGGCCTCAGTTTTGCACAAGTTGAGCTGAAGAAAGTTGTCTCTCGTCCAGGACTCGATGTCGGACAGGCAGCTGTCAGGACATCGGTGGTCGTGGAGTTGAGGTTAGAGGAGGAAAGGTATAGTTGGGAGCCATCCACATACAAGTGGAAGTTAACTCCATGTCTGCGGATGATGTCACCACAGGGGGAGCATGTAGAGGGTGAAGAGGAGGGGACCGAGGACAGAACATTGAGGAACACCCACGAGTGCGGGGGCTGGAGGAAAAACCATTCGTGGAAACAAAGTGAAGACGGTGGGTGAGGTATATCCTAAACCACTCAAGGACAGCGCCTTGAACGTTGAGGTGGGAGAACAAGCGGTGGAGGAGGATAGCATGGTCGACCGTATCGAATGCTGCCGATAGGTCGAGGAGGACAAGGAGGCAGAGGGAGCCCTGGTCACAGATGGTCAGGATGTCATTGGTGACCTTTATGTCATTGGTGACAGTTTCTGTGCTATGGGCAGCACGGAAACCCGACTGAAGGGGTTCGAATAATGAATGGTGGAGAGGAAAGAGCGCAGCCGGGAGGCGACGACTCGTTCCAGGACCTTGGACAGGAAGGGGAGGTTGGAGATGGGCCAGTAGCTTGATAGCTGCGACGCATCAAAGGAGGGTTTTTTCAAGGTGGGAGTGATGGTGGCAGTTTTTAAGGGAATGGGAATAGAGCCAGAGGAGAGGGACGATGTGTGATATGTGGGGCAAGAAGGTGGAGCTGGGATGGGGTTGGGGTCAAGGGAGCAGGTGGTGGGTTTCAGGGATAGGATGGGATAGATAGGATAGGATTAGTTTGGTGACAGAGGATGGGTAAACTGGTACGAAAGTGTGTAGTGGAGGATGGGTAGGAGTCGGAGTGTGGGAGGGAAGGGGTGGGGGGTTGGTGGATGTTGGGTGGAAGTGACCGCGGAGCGAATTCCCTTGATTTCGGATGCAAGGAAATCCAACATCTCCTCGCAGTGAAGGTTGGAGGAGATGACCTGCGCGGTGTGGCGTGGGGGACGGAGGAGTTGGGATGTGGTAGAGAAGCGTAGCCTGGGGTTGTTCTTCGCTTCCATGATTGACCTGGAGTAGAAGACGATTTGGCCGACTCTAGAGTGTAGCGGTAGATTTTGAGGAGGTCCAGCCAGATTTGTCGGTGGACCGTTAGGCCAGATTTGACCCAGGTGCGTTCAGCAGCCCGCACCTAGCTCTTCAGTGAGCGGAGGTGGGTGGTGAACCAGGGGCAGGAGCGAGAGTAGGAGACGGTACGGGAGGTGATGGGGGCAATAGTGTCAAGTGAGGGGGAGAGGGTATCGTGGAGGAGGGTGAGAGCAGAAGAGGGGTCAGTGAGGGTTGAAGGCCAGAGGGAGAGGAGTTCAGAGGACTCCAAGGCAGCGGTTAGGGATTGAGGGGATAACTTCTTCCAGGGGCGGTAGAAGATGGTGGTGGGTCTGCTGGAGGTGGGGAGGGGGGTGGAGGTGTTGAAGGAGATGAAGTGGTGGTCGGAGACGGCCTTGTCGGTGATAGTGACGTCCAAGACACTGAGGCCCCAGGTGATCACCAAGTCGAGTGGGTGGCCGTGACTGTGAGTGGGGGAGTTGATGTGGAGCGAGGAGAGCAGTGAAGAGAAATCTGAGGAGATTGAGCAGGAGGGGGTGAAGTGCAGGTTAAAGTCGCCCAGGATGGTGAGGCGATCAGAGCAGAGGCAGAGAGAAGTAAGTAGGGTGGAAATATCAGAGATAAAGGTGGGAGAGGTTTTAGGGGGCCGGTAGAGGAGGAGGATTTTAAGTGAGAGGAAGGAGGAGTGGGAGAGGGTGAGGTGCTCAAAAGAGGGGAAACAGCCAGAGGAGTAGGGGATAGGGCAAGTGGTGTCCTTGAGATAAGGGCAACACCACCGCCACGGCGGTTGGGGCGAGGGATGTGGTGGGAGGTGTAGCCGGGTGGTGTGGCCTCCGTGAGGGGGATGGTGTCGCCTGGAGTGAGCCAGGTTTCCGTAAAGGCCATGATATCAACGTTGCCATCAAGGATGAGATCGTTGATGACCAGGGCCTTGTTACAGAGGGAGCGGACGTTTTGTTGTACGATGTGGATGGAGCGGTTGACAGAAGAGTGTGTGGGAGGGGAGGGGGGTCCAGGTTGTGAGGCAGGAGTGGGGGAAATGGGGATAAGGGAGGAGAGGTTGGCTCCCCGGGTCTGTGTCCGGGGTGGCTGGCGAGTGTGGTTGGGAATGGGCAGACGGTGTGGCTGCTGCTGGACAGCCAACGCCGAATGCCACAGTGAGCCCGGGGCAGGATTCCTAGGCTGGAACAGAGGGAGGTTGTGGGAGGGTCAAGTGGGGACAGAAGGCGAGAGGGACGGAGAGAGGAGTAGAGAGCGGGAGAGATGCAGAGGGGGGAGGGTTTGGGGGTACAGAGGAGGGAGGAGGGAGGGAGGGGGTGAGGGGGCTCGGGTCATAGCGGCAGCCATATTGCGCACGCGGGGACTGGGAGCGAGCGGTCAGGTGGATGGAAACATTTTCCCACAGGCTGCGGCTGGGGCAGCCAACCTAACAGGACCGTGGTGGGCTCTGATGAGAGCGCTGGGGCGGGGGGGGGGCGCAGAGGATATTTGTTTTTTTGTTTTTTATTTGTTTATTTATTTATTTTTTTTAGTTGAGTTGCGCGCGTACACTTCTGAAAATTACCTCTATGACGTCAGCGGATCCCCCGCTCCGCCCCCACTGGTTCCCTCCTCTGCCCCACACCCCCCCCCCCCCACACACCCAGCTGCACTCCCTGCCGTGTTGAGCTTAAATACCTGAGAGGTCGGCCCAAGCTCCTCCCCGCGCTGTCCTGGCGCCGCTCCCTGTCTCGGACTCCAGGCAGACACACACAGAATGGTGGAATGGGCTGACACGTGGCAGATGGATTTCAATGTAGATAAGTGCGAGGTGATACACTTAGAGAGGAAA